TATGAGACAGTTAAGGCCTCTATGGAGAAGAGTAAACGATTATGTGAAAGGGTTACAAAAAAGACACTATGAGCTTAAATTTGATATATGGCCAGTATATCTAAGTATAACTAAGTATACTGAATATCATGATTTTTGGCCACAAATTGGGAACCCTCTAAGTACAATTGCTTAGAAAAGATTTGAAACGTATAAAGTACAAAACTAAACAAAAGTAACTATGAAGTACTAGAGTTCATGCCTTTCTGTTCAGCACCTTGCCCATATGCTCTGGTTAATGGTTAATTGGTGATAAACATCGAAACCCATTGTATTTCTTAAAAATAGAGGTAAAGCCGAATACAAGTGCCTATCGTCATAGCTCGTCATCCAAAAAACAAGATCAGGCGACCAGCTGGTGACCACCCAAGTACAAAGCCTTGCAGCAAGATTGTGTAACCTTTTGCCCTTTCTCATCGACACTTGCTATAAAAGCTTGTTATCCTCTGCAATAAATCGCACTCAGCACTCACTCCTCTTGTGTGTGAGTTGTCTGTTTGCCATCTCCCCACCTATTCCAGTTCCTCTACTAGGTGTCCTCCGTTGTCCCGACAGAGCCGGTCTGAGACATGAATCTATTTTTTTTTTCTGTTTTTCAATCTGGGACACAGTTAGGTTCATAACCTGGTATGTCAAACAGAGTGAGAAATAAAAGAATCTCATCAGAGATCCTTTCATCTTTCTTGCTTTTGACAATGAATAAAGATTCTGGAACCATGGCCTGGAGAGAAGCCAAATGAGAGAGTCAGAAAAAACCTGTGTGATTTTACCCTAGATGTTCCTGCTCAGAACATGATAGGTGGACTGGTAAAGCATAAAGCCTTCTTATGGGAGAAGAAACATTCCTGAATCAAGTAGAGCATTAAAGTCTCCACTAAAGACAAATCCACAGAAGAGTGAAGTCTTATGTGTTACTAAACAATATAAACAGAATATACACTCAGAAATGTAGATCCATAAAATGTAAAAGAAACAACTTATATAGGTATATGCTTTTGTTTATACTTGTTGGTTGATTACACAGGAAATTCTTTTATCCAGGATTCTGGTTTTTCTTACACTTACCCACAATGGTAATTGGTAACATAAACTACATGAACTTTGCAGTGACATTTACAAAAAGAGAAAACCTATTCTGTTTACTTCAGTGAGGTAGTTTTTGATAGGAAATACTATATGAATTCTTTAAAAGCAGTGTTTGCACATTAGTACTGGGTTTTCCCACATCACAAGAATGTTTTCTTACTTTGAAAAACTTAAAGTGAATTTATTAGAGGCTAAGTGTTCACATTCACAATACTTAAGATGAGGACTGTTACAAATTTCATGGTGGGGTATTTTCTGTTTGTTTTAGCATTTGGACTGTCCATATCCACATTAGTGACTGAATATCTTGCCTTAAAATTGTCAAGTTTTCTATTTCATATTATTATATTAGGATATAATCTGAATTTCAAAGAGGACATTGTAACTGGGCTTTCATGTCTAATGGCTGTAATCTTAGCTACTCAGAAGGCTGCCATCTGAGGAAAGTTAGTATTATCCCCACCTTTTCTTCTCAGCTCAACCCAGACCTGAGCTCCTCCCAGACCTAGAGTTCCCTCCCTACAGCTGGCCACGCCCTCTCTCATCTCAGACTCACCTGAGCATATACTTAACTCACTTCCTGCCCCCCAGATTCTGTTGCAACCTGAAGAGGGACAAATGCTTGTGCTCCCTCTCCTGAGAAATATGGTCCTTCTAATAAACCTTATAATAATCTTTCTCATGTGCCTGCTTGTGGTCCCCTGGGATGGACATGAAGAAACCCTACAAGGATCACTGATTTAAGCCAGGATGATAGGAAAGTCTGAGAGACTTATGTCCAATAAGCTACCAAAATAGTGGGAAGTGCAAATGCGGCTTTCAAGGTCAGTTTCCAGACCTTGAGTTCTAGAATCAGGACAGGCAGACACATATCAAGGGCATTGTATTGTATTCAAATTTTAACATATTTTAACATTTGTTATATTTAACAAATATCATATTTTAACAATTGTTTTTGGTGTACATATATAAGAAATCTCTCTCATTTTTCTCTCATTTTTTTTTGTCCCTGTGGGGCCTGAACTCTGAGCCTAGGCACTGTCCCTCTGACCTGCAGCTCAAAGCTAGCACTCTATTACTGGAGCCACAGTACACTGCTGGCTTTTTCTGCTTATGTGGTTCTGAGGAATCAAACCCAGGGCTTCATTCATGCAAGGCAAGCACTCTACCACTGAACCACCTACCCAGCCAGTCTCTCTCATTTTAAGTGATGTAAATTAGGCTAAATATATTAGTGGAAAAATTGTAATTTTTCAGAACAGACACATCAATTGGAGTATATCTGTGCCAGCAGCATTTTGAAAGTTTCAAAAGCCATAGGAAGTGCAGAGAATGAAAAGAGGATCAATACGTTTATAGAAGACATTTTCAAGGAATGTTTACCATTCATTGGCTTCAATTCACAAAAAGCAAGTTTATAAAGTCACAAGGGTGAGTACCAGAATCTCTAGGGTCAGGAGTATAAACGCACAACTCCTGACTCTCCTTGTCTCGAAAATCAGAGGTTTGTAGCCACTTTCTGGCACCTGGAGGAACAAGTGCTATTGGCAGCACAAACCCATGAGCCTTAAAATATCATCCACCCCAGACTGGGGAAAGATGGGAAGGGCAGACTCTGGCTAGGAACCTCAGAATGCTTCATGTTTCAGCTCCCAAGTTCCCCTGAAAAAGAGAAGCTGGGCTTCTACCTCTTGGCTCTGACTATGGAGTGCAAAGCTGTACTTCAGAGCACTTCCAGCAGCAAGGCAAAGGGAAAGAAACCCGAATTTGCAAACTAAAAACACCGACAGTGAGCAAGGTGGCATTGGCGCCCCTTCCCCCCCCTTCACCGGATTACCTCTCCCTTCTCTCCCCTGCCCACACACACTTTCAAAGGATCTATGCTCCGATAGAAACTACAATTCCCAGAATGCAATGCACAATTCACCTGGAGGAAATGGGCTTGTTACAGGGATTTGACTAGCACAAGACACTTGCTCCTAAGTGTGCAAGGATGCATGGGGACCTTTCTCTCCCAGCTGTGGGAACTTAGGTGAGTTTCTTCTTGAAAATTCAGTTTACCGACATAAATATTGTGAGACCAATTAAAAACACAAATGTATTAGGAGCATTGCATAATTTGGCTTTTTAATTCTTAATTCTTTTAATATAATTGAGGCTATAAATCTACGTAGTTTTTTATTTTTGTTTTTGTTCAAAAAGTACATTCTGCTGAATGTAAATTATGTCTCTGTTTTTCCTTAAAGTTTTGAATATCTCCCCTCTCACTTTACAAAGGTATTTGCAGCTGGGTGCCAATGGCTCATGCCTGTAATCCTAGGTACTCAGGAAGCTGAGATATGAGGATCCCAGTTCAAAGCCATCCTGGGCAGGAAAGTTCATAAGTCTTATCTCCAACCAACTACCAAAACAATGGAAGTGGTCTTGTGGCTCAAGTGGTAGAGAGCTCACTTTGAGCTGAAAAACACAGGGACAGTGCTCAGGCTGGGTTCAAGCCACAAGATCGACCAAAAAAAAAAAAAAAAGTACTTGCAGACAGTAAACTGATTGATTCTGGCATCATCTTCCCCTGCTCTAATATATATACTGGAATAAAATAACAGAATTTAAAGACATATACTTTATAATCTTTGAATTAAATTGATTTGTCAAATTCTACTCATTATTTCCCAAAAACTCCCAAATTCCATCTATGAAATTTTAAGGAGTTTTTGCGTATTTCTGTCTGAAATTTGCCTTTCCTTATAAAGTTTTTCCCTCGTTTTGTGGTTGGTCCTGTGGCTTGAACTCAGAGCGTGGGCACTGTCTGTGAGCATTTGCTGTGCTGTACTTGCCTTTTTTTTTATTAATTGCTTCAGGGGACTAGTGAAATATTTCCTCTCAGGGGTTTCTTAGAAAATGGTACTGCTCCTCCAAGACTCTTCAAAAAATTGGTTGTCTAGGTAGATCAGGATGAATGTGGGAGGAGGTAGAGTTCAGGGCAGGTCCAGGTTCATGTGAAGCTTCATTACTTGCTCCAAACCAGTCTGATTTTACTTTTCTGTTTTGCATATCCTATTTTGTTTTGATTTTCTACCTCTTCTCTGACCCTAGAAGTTCCTGTCAGCAAGTCTAGGTCACATATCTAGGGGTCCTCAGACTTGTCTTCCCAGACTGCATCCATTACACTGTGGAATAAATCTTTTGCCTCCCTCCCTCATATCAGACATTCTAAGCTTGTCTCTTAAGGGTTTGTTGTGATTGATGATGATCCTTTCCCCACATCATGTTTGGGAAGGATTGTGTAGGAAATTTTCATGCCTGATATTCAGTCCTCCAGTGTAAGGGTTTTCCATCCCTCTTTTAGTGGACCTGAGCTATTCCTCATGAAAATGGAGATCGTGAGGCACATTTGGATGTATAGATGGCAACATTGGAGCACCTATAATATATGAGGGAAAAATAATTATTTCTTTGTGTAAAAGTTAAAAGTAAGTTCCTGAGAGGTAAAAGTGGGTGCTTCCTAGACTAGTTGTGTCCCATGGTTGTCCTTGTTCTTGGTTACAGTTTTCAAACATTCATTTCTAAGTATTACGTTTATTGTACTAGTATAAATAGAATTTACTTCCTACATTACTTTTGAATTGTTCATTGCTCACAGACGTAAGTCTCATTATTATATAAATATTATATCCTCTTACTTCATTGATCACAGTTATTGACTATTGCAGATCCTGAGGTAGAAGGTACAAATATGGTAAGATATTCAGGGACAGATTATGTTTCTAACTTCCTCTGGAGGAAAAGGTGAACCAATGGAAAAAGATGGAGCTTATGCATAACACCTGTAGAATTTCTTTGGCAGGAGATGTGGTGCATCCCTCTTGGGTTCCACTATGCCCAGTGATTCCCATGTCTGCAATGATCCATCGCCCTGGAGGGCCTATGGATTTCATATCTTGTCCATTGTTCTTGTGTTAGCAATCTCCCAGTATGTAAGGCAGGACTGGTCAGAGTAGTGGCGTGATCAGTGGTACCTTGCTGGCTCCCATGTTTGTCAGTTTGTGTGGACAAGCTCACCCTGACATCTTGAGTCTGGCTGATGCCATGAGGCCTATTTGAACTAATGCCTCTCACCATCCCATACCTCTGTTTCAGAGACCTGTCCTGTTTCATGGTTTTGTATCATTTACTGTGCAAGCTTGTGTTATGTATCCATATAGGCTAGTAGTTGGGCTGGGTATAGTTTTCAATTATGGGGTGGTGTTTCATGCCTCTTGCAGGAACAATTGTGTTCTCACTAATTGCATGAGTAATCCGAGCTTACTATGCAATCCCCTTAACTTACATTGCATGTTCAGTTGATAGAACCATGGTATAATAAGTTTGGGTCTCGGTTTGCTTTTGAGGTTCAGAGGACTCTTAGCCATTGCTGCAGATTTTGGGGAATATTGGTTGCTCTCATTATTGCTACCCAGACTCTTATTGCTAGCGCTACTGCTTCTCTTGTGATCTTTGTACAAACCATATATACTGCATAACATGTTAATGCTTTAGTTTGAAATGTTTTTGGTATCCTTGATATGCAGGTGGGAGTAGATAAAATGATTGTGATACGTTTTATGATTTGGAAACAGCAATGATGTATGTTGATAATCACAGAGACCTTCTAAAGACCCAGTTAAAAATGATGTGTCATGCTAATTGTCAGTACATTTGTGTTATCCCTCTTAAATACGATGGAAATATGACTTGTACCAATATCCAGTAACATATTTGAGGAACCTTGCCCTCAATAATTTAAGCTTAAGCATTATGCAGCTTCAGGGTCAAATATCTGGTATTGGTCACTCTACCACGCAGGCTTAGCTGTATCAATTCTCCATTACCTGTAGGGATTCAACTGGGGAAATAGCACTCTTTTTGCTATTTCTTAGGCATTTTCCTGTTTATTGTTTTGGTATTTCTTTTCGCTTCCATTCTTCCTTAGATGTATGATCTGCTGATTTTCCAGGTTCAGGCTGATAGACACTTGCTCAATTTACAAAATGAAAAAGGGGGAAATGGTGCAGACCCTGATGTGCCAGGAGTTGGCAAGGTGTGAGCAAAACCTCCAGAACCACGGACTGCAACCTTCAGGGCTATAAATACTTCACTTTTTATAGGAGAGAGTGTTCCTTTTAGCTTCTGGGCCTGGGGCCTTTCCTCTAGGTGTTTGGTGGACAAGGGTTGAAATAGAATGAAGAATGATGCATATGGTCTGCACTTGTTAGCACAGCGAGTCCTAGAAAAATGTGATGCAAGCACTGGACAGATATAGAAAGTGTCTATAGCTAAGGTTATTGCTGGAATAAAGAGAGATTCGTCAATTGCCTTCTCTCACTCTGTTCCATTATCATCCCATTGCCCTTCCAGAGCACTGTTGGTGTTGTGGCTGTCCTCAAACAGTGGTAGAGTGCTTACCTCGCATGCATGAAGCCCTGGTTCAAGTCCTCAGTACTACATACATAGAAAAAGTCAAACATGGAATTGTGGCTCCAGGAGTAGGGTGCTAGTTTTGAGCAAAAATTCAGGGACAGTGTCCAGGCACTGAGTTCAAGCTCCAGGGCTGGGACATAAAAGAAAAGAAATGCAAGCTGGGTGCTGATGCCTCATGTCTTTAATCCTAGCTATTCAAAAGGCTAAAACTTGAGGATAGCAGTCCAAAGTTAGCCTGGGCAGCAATGTCTGTGAGACACTTATCTCCAATAAAAACCAGAAAACCAGAATTGGTGCTTTAGCTCACAATGTAGAGCACTTGAGCTGAAGGGCTAAGGGATGGTTCCTAGGCTCACAGTTCAAGTGGCATGACCAAAAACCAAACCAAACAAAAGAAAATGATAAAAGTATAAAGAAATTCATCACAAATGTAGGCTTGAACAATGAAAACTATATTTCAGGGATGGGAAGGTGGTTCAGTGGTAGAGTGCTAGCCTTGCATGCATGAGGCCCTGGGTTCGATTCTTCAGCACCACATAAGCAGAATAAGCCAGAAATGGCACTGTGGTTTAAGTGGTAGAGCTCTAGCCTTGAGCTGAAGAGCAGAGGAACAGTGCCTAGGCCCGGAGTTTATAACTAACAAAAAAACAAGAAAATGAAAAAAGGAAAAGAAAAGAACCTATATTTCACAGGTACTCTTGGAAGTACCCCAGTTTTATCTTTTTGTCTCTCAGGAATTTAGTGTTAGGGAGCATTTTTTTTTGGTGTGGGGCTTGAACTCTGGGCCTGAGCACTTGTCCCTCAGCTCTTCAGCTCAAGGCGAGCACTCTACCACTTGAGCCACAGTGCCAGTTCCCAGGAAATTTTGTTTTAAAGAATGAAATTATTTTTTCTTTATATTGTTAGAGGTGCTTTTAAGTTGAAGTGTATACATTCAAATATGCTCTTTGATTCCCATTTTCATGAGGAATAGTTCTGGTCCACAATAGAGACATGGAGAACCCATACACTGGAGAAATGAAATCATATGTGAAAGTTTCCAATCCAGTCTTTCTCAATTATTTTTTATGGAAGGGGTTACAAAAAATCACAATAAACACCTAATAGACAAGTGTAGGTTCTCTGATAAGAGAGAGGGAGACTGTTGTAGACCCTGGGGTGCCTGCCAGAAGCAGACAAAATGTGAACAAAGGCTTCAGGGCCATTGACTCTTACCCTCAGGACTGCAAGTCCTTGCTCTTCATTGGTTTGAGGAAGTCTGTGTTCTAGCTTTTTGGCCTGGGGCTTTAACTGTCTGGAGGCTTGGGTGGAAAACATGTATTGAAATAGAGTGTAGAAAGATGTGTGCTGTTTGCACTTTTGGGCACAGTGGGTTACACCAATATTACACAAGCATTTGAAAAATATAGCAGAATTGTGCCATCAGCCATCTCTCTGACTCCTTAATTATCATCCAATTGGCTCTCAGAGCCTCGCATGTGCTCTGATGGGACTTTGGCAGGAGACAAAAGATTTATTCCACAGTTTAATGGATAAGGTCTAAGAAAACAAGTCTGAGTTCCCCTAGATATGTAGCCCAAAGCTACTGAGAGGAACTGTTAGGATCAGAGAAGAGGTAAGAATTCTAAAGAGATTTTCACATGCAAAATGAAAAGACCAAAGCAGACTGGTTTGCAAGTGATTAAGCTTCACATCAACATAGCCTAGCCTAAACTTCACTCTTCTATCCCTCCTGCATTCATCCCTGACCCCCCAAACCACTATCTCTTTGAAGGGAAATGGAGGTGATGTGCCATGTTCATAAGAATCCCTGTGAGGAAACTTTTCACTAGTTACCTGAAGAAATTATTAAAGGAAATGGAAATAGAGTACAGCAAATGCTCACAGACAGTGTCCAAGCTCTGAGTTGAAGCCATAGGACCAACAACAAAACAAAACATAAAATCCTTAAATGAAATGCAAAATTCAGAAAAAAACAAAAACTCATTTGATTTAATAGATAGAATTGGGTAGTTTCTGGAAAATTAATTGTTAGATTTTGTGAAATCCAAATCACCAGAAGTATTATGCTGCATATTTACCTAACAAGCTCACTATTTTATGCCAGTGTATACATTACAACAATGCGAAATGAGCCACGTATAAGTTTAGTGGCTGTGAACACCTTTGTAAAGTAAGAGGGGATGTATTACAAAAATTTAAGACAAAACAGAGATATAATTTACATCCAGTAGAACACAGGCATTGAATAAACAGAAAGGTATAAGCAACGCAGTCTCATAACCTCAATTTCAATATTAGAACTCAGAACCAAAATGCTAATGCATCCAATTCTCCCCATATATATCCATTTTCTGATTGGTCTTATGTATTTCAAGAGGAAATAGTGGTTTTCAAGAAGAAAGTGAGCCTAACTCCCACAGCCGGGAGAGAAAAGTCCCAAGGCACAAGAGCACCCCTGTTCCCAGGTTTGCAGCAGGGTGACACCGAGCATTGTGGGAATTGTAGTCTCCATGGAGGATATTTTCTTTGAAAGTCCTGGATTGTTTTTGTTTTTTGGAGGGTGGAGGTGGGGCAGAAGATGCTTTTGCGCATGTGTCTCCCCGCCCACCACGGGTGTTTTAAGTCGGCCTCTTCAGGATTCTTTTCCTTTGCCTTGCTGCTGGAAGTGCCCTGAAGTACAGTTTGGCCTTTCATAGGTGGGAGCCGGGAGGCTGGCACCCAGCTCTGTGCAGTGGAGCTTGGGAGCTGTAACTTGAAGGAATCTCAGGCTTTGGAACTGATGTCAGGTAGGAACTGTGCGATTGCTGGGGAGTCTCCCCTCCATGGGTTTCTGTTTCATTTTCTGTTTATATTTGTTTGTTGGGGCATGAACTCTGGGCCTGCAAGCAGCATTGCTGAGCTCCTCAGCTCAGAGGGAGAGCTTTATACTTGAGCCAAAGCGCCTACTTCTCTCTCCACGCTTTTCTCCAGTCTGGGGTGATAATTTGCTTGAGGTTCAGGAGTTTGTGCTGCCATTAGCCTCTGGGCCTTCACATGCAAGAACCTAGTTCTCAAATGTCTGAGAGCAAGCTGGGTGATTGTCCAGATCAGGAGAGCCCAAGAGCTGTGCATTTGTACTCCAAGACCAAGGGATTCTTCTATTAAGTCATGTGACTTTATTTGCTTTTCCCAGGTGTGAGAGGAGTATAGAAAGAATTCTAGTGAAATTGTGACAAGTATGCCTGCCTTGAGTCCTCTTACATTGCAGTTGTATTTGGGGCTTCTGTGTTGTTTCTCCTAGAGATAATTTAATCTGTTTGGCTTGAGTTTTTAATCTCCTGGCTTGAGTTCACAAGCGTTTGTACACGACCCTGTTTCTAGAGACAGTTGTACATGGGATATTGGAGTAGTGAGTGCTGGTCCTGTATTTTTAAGAATGAAGCCTAGCAATGTTTGAAGCAGAGCACAATATGAATAGGAATCTCCATCCTAAATGGACAGACCTTGTCAATTCTGAGAGGCCCTAAAGGGAAGAAGCAGAAAAGCACAGGAAGGGGAAGATGTTGCTAGCTTCCCTTGCCTTATGCAAAAATTGTTGCTACTTCCCAGAGCACCAGATTCATGTGGTACTCTTTCCTACACCACTGTTAATCACTTTGGGTTCTTGCAAGATTTAAACTAATTTCCAGGAATTGTGATGCGCTGGATTGAGATATAATCCAGTGCATAGTTAACAGAGGGTACATAAGGCTGTGGTTTGGGATGGTGGGGTAATTGTTATGACTGAAAGTATCTATTCATGTAGTAATCCCTAATCCTCTTCTTGCTAATTTATTCAGCCTGTTACCACTATGATTTTTAGTATGTAATCATGCAAACTCATGTTAAATATCCCATCTAAGGATTTGCTAATGCTAGCTCTTATCGGTTGGTTTTGCCTGGTAGTACAGAAAGAATTGGCCAGGGACATTTGGCCTTAAAAGAAAAATCACAGAAGAAAACGTGAGGTAATATGTCTTGATCAAGTTTGTTTGCATTGTAGGTGATGCTTATCTTCAGATGTGTCACTCCTATATGCAGTATTTTATGTTGTATCTTTAGGATGGTCAAGGTTCTTCCCAATACTGTTTAGGGAAATGAACATTAGGGACTTCTCAAACCTGGGTTTACCTCATCTTTACTCATGTCCCTTTGGCCAAAGCATGTTAAATGGAAATTGCAAGTCATTGCATATGTGTGCGATGGGTACAGTGAAGTGTGCCATTTGACAACCATTGTTGAAATATTATAACACAGGAAATATGCTCTGTATACATTTTTTTTCTCTACCTTTGGGTGAAAACTACTGAGATACATCATGCATGCTTTCCCTGGTGTTTAAGTATGTAAATGAACGAGGTAGAACACAAATTCCAATGGATTCATAGGATACCTTTGCATTAAAAAAAGCAATTCCTACATCCCGAAGTATATTCAGTAATAAATACTTTTAGTGGAAATTTGATAGGTTTTTGCTTGCAATAATTCAATAATATTTGTGGGAACATTCATTTTTTTGAATTTAATGTGTACATAAACATAGAAATTAGTTAGTTTAATAATATCCATCTACCGGGAATGGACTGGATTTGTATTTAT